ACAGGAAGGATCAGCTGTCACACAGGAGGGATCAGCTGTCTCTGACATAGGAGGGATCAGCTGTCACTCACATAGGAGGGAACAGCTGTCACTCATTTAGGAGGATCTGTCACTCATGTAGGAGGACAGCTGTCACAAATGCAGGAGAGATCAGCTGTCACCCATTTAGGAGGAGCAGCTCTTACTCATACAGGAAAGATCAGCTGTCACCCATGTAGAAGATCAGCTGTAAATCTCGGACAGGTTAAGGCTGTGTGTCCCACACATTAGTACTGTGGACACTTTTATAACTACTCCAAGATAGGACAGCCTTGTAGTTTCATTACTTTTCTCTTTCTCAAACTGTCTTCTAGAAGTTCACACTCTTGAACAGACACACAATGATTACCTTCTTCCCTCCGGTCACAAACTGCTTGCAACTGGATCTCACAAAGTGGGGGTGCACAGCAACGATCTGCAAGAGAACAAGGACCCAGCCCTTCTGAGAACAGTTCACTATACACCATGAGCATCATCAATGCCCTAGTGTCAGGCAGTGTGTTCAGCAACATTCTGAATTGACTCAGGACACCAGTCTTCTGCTCTGTGTGAACAGCCAGCTCAGAGTGCTTGGGCCAGGACCACAAACTGATCCCCTTCAAGACCTATTCCACTCTGCAGCAGTGGAAATAGGCTGAGCCTCACCTCTTTCCCTGCCCTTCCCACCCCACAGCTCTCAGGCAGAGTGCTGTCTTCTTCCTCAGGTTACCATCCTCCCTTCCAGAAGTATTCCCTCTCCTTTCCTCCTCTCTCCTACTCATTCTTACCATCCATCAAACACAACGTGCAGAAATTACCTCTACATCTCCTTTCTTTGCCCCCTGTCATGTATCCTTCTGCCTCATTAACAAGACTTTTTGAAGGCAGCATGCTCATTGGGTGGTTCACCTCCCTGACTTGCAATGTACTCCAGGATGACCTCAGTAAAGAGGTCCATAACTTGATAATTATCGGATAGCATACCCCTGAACTGTCTTCCCATCCTCTAACCAGCATGCTATCTTTGGCACTGCTACTGCTTCTATTAGAAGTCTCTCTCTATTGGTCTCTTTTAATGCTGCCCTCTGAATGTCTTCCGGTCCTCCTCAGTCTTCCTTACCATTTTTTTTTTTTAATTTCTGTTGCCTAGGAGTACTTTGGAACTTCTTTTTAGGGTTGTATACTTAAAAACTGGGTATACTCTTAAAATGCCCCCCATCTTACTCAGCTGTGATTATCTACTGTGTCTTTAAAGGAGACTCTCCATCTTGAGGTCCTAAAATTTCCACAGGTTTCTACTGGATGTATTACTGACTTAAATTCAAGACCACATGAGCAATACCCTTATGTGAACTGTCCCTTGTTCCAGTAGATGGCATTCCCACACACCACTGCCAGAGCAAGAACCTGACTCAGCCTCATCAACTCCATTTGTGATCACTCTGATCCAGGATGCCTCTAAGTCTACAAAGGAAAGGCTCTCTCTGCTTACTCTGTTCTATTTAGAATATGTACCATCATTTTTTTATGGAGATCCTGTAACATCTGGAGTCTCTCTTCTCCCATCCCTCCAGTATTCATTCTCAATTATATTTAAACCACCCTCCACTCAGCCTCCTAAAACATGTCAGATCTTATCTCTCCTTCACCTATGGTCAACAAACATTTGAATAAACAAGTGAAAACTAACAAGGTCCACATTCTCTAACAAGTCTAATACTTCAGTGTAACTGTTACTTAAAACTGGTTTTCTGCCTCTTGTCATCAGCCCTGCAATCTATATTGAATATAGTCACTGTAATTATTTTCTTAAGCTTAGCTTAGTTTAAATCACTCTCGTTCTTAAAACACTTGCTAATTTCTCCTTGCCCATTAGATGGAATCCAAATACCTCTGGCTCCGATACAATGCCAGCTCCCACCTTCTTGGACTGTTGTCTTGCCAAATCAGAGCTTGATACAGCATCTAAACTAGATCATTTGCTACTCACTGAACACAGCTTGAACTTCCAGCTTCTGCACTTCTATTCTTCCATGGGGAAAGTCTGCTTCTCAGTGTGACACTACTCACACATTAAAGCTCAAATATCACTCCAAATGAAGCCATCACTCCAAATGAACAGCTAAAAGAGGCTCTTTTCAGTTTGGGGTTCCTTAAAGCTCTTTTTGTATTTTCCAGTCTTTAGTTACAGATTGTGTGTGTGCGCGTGCGCGTTAGTGAGAGAGACTTCACCCATTAGAAGTCTCCAAGCACAGCCTAAGAGCACAATCCCATCATATGCTTCTTGCCACCCTCACAGTACCCAAAGGTATTGGTGTAGCGTAGTGATGAGTGGATCAGAAGTAACAGAATTACCATAATCTCAATCCCCGAGGTGAGAAATTCTTTGAAAAGTTAAAGCTTCCTAATACTTACTTTAATGGGACAGTCAAATGTCTCGTGAAATTCTTCTCCAGAATATAATCCAAAAACCTGCACCTGTAAACAGACCAGGCCTTTCATCACCATAAGAAGACAAAAGCTGCTGAGTCAGCAGAACATACTATCAATAATTTTAGAAAGTAAGAAAGACAAGTAGAACACTTAATAATTCCGAGCCCCTGTAACCACTACTACATATCCAATGAACTCAATCCATTCAGGGAGACAGTAGCTACTGTAATTAAGATTTTATAGGATTCCATCGATAGAGTCCCCACTATTCTACAAATCTGTTTTAGTAAATGGATTCAACTTTTTAAAATGACACAGGTGTGAAAAGCTTATTAATATTCTTTGAATGAATATCTCATTGGCTATTCTTAAAGCAATCATTGTTTTCACCCCTTAAGGAGAACGGAGCTTCTTTCTTGAGTCATACATATATAAATCAGGCACCTAGATCAATGTGGTTGGTATGAGATGAGATAAACTTCATTTACAATCTTACATGGAAAATACTGAGAATATATCAGGGAAAGATGTAAGTTCCTCCTTACCAATTCCTACTTTAAGGCTATTGCAGGCTACTTTATTCATATCTGTATTTTCCATGCAGCTTTGCACATGTTTATGACACAAATCTAACCCTTCAACCATCACCCAAATCAAATCCAAACTGGGTGCAGTAGCATACAGACACAATCCCAGTACCTGGGATGCTGAGAATAGAAGACTATGAATTAAAAGCCAGCCCAGTACATAGAGTAATTTCTAGGAATCCTTTTGTGTCTCTACAGTAAACAACATCTTCATATTAACCACTACCATACAATCTATCACCATGCATAAATAAGTCATGATAAGGTTTAAATTTTATATAAACAGAATCACATATTATCTCACTGGTTCTACTACTGGACATCTTCCTTGCACATTGTCGTATATAGCAGCAGTGAATTTTTATCATTGCTATATAGTATTTCAATGTATCACTAGATCACAATTCATTTCCAGATTGGGGCTGTTATGAATAGCACTGTTATACACAGTCTATAATACCTGCTCAAGGCTAGCGCTCTACCACTTGAGCCACAGCACCACTTTCAGTTTTCTGAGCAGTTTATTGGAGATAAGAGTCTCCTGGATTTTCGTGCCCGGGCTGGCTTTGAACTGTGATCCTCAGATCTCAACCTCCTAGGTAGCTAGAATTACTGGCGTGAGCCACAGGGCACCTGCCTTGTAACTTATACTCTTAACAGCAGAATATGAGAACTCCAGAGGTTCTCAAAGACTTGGAGCTAACTAACAGTATTAGGAGCAATAGAGACCCCAGTGTGATCTCCTACTTAATTAAAAAGTGCAGCTATGCTAACACAACCTGTCTTTCTCTGCATCCACAATGTCACAACAGGTCTTGGGTAAAATCTTAAGTCTATTACTAATTTACATCTCTAAATGCTTCAACAAGCTTCATCTCTGATTATATTCATGGTTAAAATCCCCAGACACTGAGGGCTGGACCCCACCCTAGACAAATTAAATGACTTCAATTTGGGATGAATGCCATTTGTGAAGGCCCCCTAGGGACAATACACAGCCAGAGTTGCCAAACTTGGTCCTCCTGGGGCCCCCAAAAAGGCCTAGTGAGGGATGGGAGTAAACACCACCATGCTTGTTTAACGAACAATTCTGCAGAAAATAAACCACTTGCCTAAAGTTTTAAAAATTGTAATCACAAGACTTAGGACCAGAACTCAGTCCTTAGAAGCCAGTTTTTCTACATGAGATCTTTATATAAGACAGCCTAAAATCTGCAAGTAAGAAAGACATCATTCCACATGAAGGATTAGAAGAGCAGAACAGAACAACAAAGAAAAGTCTTAACTATCTGCCACACTTCTGATATTGAAGCTTCAAGACAATTTGAAACAAAATGAAGCAGATTACTTATTTAGATGGCTATCTTGCCTTCTACCTCCAGACAGTAAGGGTAATTTTTAGAAAACAGTGATGAGCACAAGGACTGAGAGTCAAGTGGAGAAAATTATGAATTGCCAGGGATAAAAGTCCCTTTAAAAGTCATGAGTCCGGGACTGGGAAGGTGGCTCAGTGGTAGAGCGCTTGCCCTGCATGCCTAAGGCCCTGGGTTCGATTCCTCAGCACCACATAAGCAGAAAGAAAAAAGCCGGAAGTGGTGCTGTGGCTCAAGTGGTAGAGCGCTAGCCTTGAGCTGAAGAGCTGAGGGACAGGGCCCAGGCCCAGAGTTCAGGCCCCACAACCGGACTCAAAAAAGAAAAAAAAAAAAGTACAGTGATGAAGAGAATAAGGTGTATTTGCAGAAGAATGAAAAGAACAGAGGATGGCACCAGCACTGCTCTCAGTTGGCAGGCACTACATTCCTCCCTCCTGGGAACTAGTCAGGGCAAAAGTCATGAAACAAGCAAACAAAACCCAAAGGAGTACCTGATGAAGGGAGCAAGTGAGATTAGAATTCAACTCAAAGCTGGGCTCATGCCTTCAATCCAGCACTCTGGAGGCTGAGGCAGGAAGATCAAGAATTTGAGGCCAGAGTGGGCTATATAGCAAAACACTGTCTCAAAAACAAACAACCATGAAACCTAAGCAGAAAACAAGGAAGTCAACTTCTATTCTTGAGCTTGAGTAACACTCTCCTTAACTACAGAGAAATAAACTTTATACAGCGCATCAGCCTCAGAATGGAGGTGGTTTATAAATCCATTGGTGCTTCAGTACATTTCATTAATGTGAAATCCCAGCCTAATGTAAATTAGGAAATGAATATGTGGTGATAAAACACAGTTGATATGCTCCTGAGCAGACCTCCCAACTGCCTGCAGAGGTAAGGTGGGCAGCAGAGTGGGTGGCAGCCCAGGCAGTGGACCACAGGGCTATGCTCTTGCCTCTGGGTGATATTGCCTCTGGCTTCACCAGACTGAATTCCTTTGAAGAATTGAGAATAGATGGAACTGAAGTAATAACCAAAATTGTACCTGAAGTAATACCTCAGTATATGATTCAAAAGGACTTACTACATTCTAGACAAAATGAAGAGATAGCAAAACTAGTCATAACTTAGCACAATTACAAGGAGAATTTATGAATGCTGCTGTCTAAGCTGCAAGGAAGGACAAAACAAACATACTTCTGAGACTTCTTAAAGCAGTAGGCTGCATCAGACATGTCTCCAAAGGGTCAGAAAAAGGCAACAATCATCTCCAAAACTTTGAAAACATTTCCACCAGAATTTTACACTAGAGGCTAGTTTAGATATAAAGGTAGTATATGTGAGAAATGAGAAATAAACCTGGTAGACAATAAACTAAAAAGTTACTTATAAATGTATGTCAGTAAGGTGAACTTGAAAGGTTGCTTATGAACATATGTTAATAAGTTGAAATTGAACATACACATAGATTACATACAATATATACAATGTGGGCATGTATGGATCCCCCAATTTAGAACTCAAAGAAAGCTATGAGAGAAGAAGACCAGAAGTGAGTACCAGCTCAATCAACTATAGTTTAATCAACTGCTAGAATTGCAGCTCTACAAATGAATGCAAACATCAAAGGTCGTTATTGAAATATTGAGAATTGTTTGCTCATGAGTCTTTTTTTTTTTTTTTTTGTAAATTGTGGGGCTTGAACTCTGGGCCTGGGCACTGTCCTTGGGCTCTTCATCTCAAGGCTACCACTTGAGCCACAGAGCCACTTCCAGCTTTTTCTGTTTATGTGGTGCTGAGGAATCGAACCCAGGGCCTCATACATGCAAGGCAAGTACTCTACCACTGAGCCACCTTCCTAGCCCCTCATGAGTCTTAATATAGCAAACAGAGTAAAACTTACAATGGCCCTTCAAAGGTGCATTGGAAAGCAAAAATAAGAAAAGAAAGCTCTAGATATTAGATCAGAAGACCTGTGGCCTTTCTGATTTTATCTTTATGACCATTGTGTCCACATCCTTTTGAACAAGCTCCTCAATTTTCACAATAACGGCTGGTCTATGGTAAGGGCCACTTTACACAACATGTTCACTGTACGATTTTCAGTTCTATTAATGCTAAATAAAATATATAACAAAGTCATTTTTCAAAATATGTCACATCCTTTAAAAAAAAAAACTAAAAATAGACTACCCTATGACTCTACCACTATTGGGTAAATATCCAAAGGAACGTAAGTCAATACAAAAGAAAGACACCTGTATACTTATCATAGTATTGTTCACCACAGTAAAACTATGGAATCAGCCATTGTGCCCAACAATAGATGAATGGATAAAGATGATGTTGTAAAAACGTATTACGGAATATTACATAGCCATAAAAAAGGTAAAATCCTGTCATTTACAAGAAAATGGGTGGACTGGATCATATTGAGCAAGACAAAAAAAACCCTCAAAACAAGATATCATATGTTTTTTCATTCATATTTAGAAGCTAGAACTAAAAGATAATTCATGTATTATTCCTGTATATATGATTAGATAGACAGAACAAAAGTCTAAAGGGACTACTTAGGAGAAGGGAAAGTAGAAGGTAATAAAGAAAGAGGGTGAATAATTTTGAGATATACTGCAACTCAACCAAAGCTGTTATCAATAAGGGCTAGGAGTAGAAGGGAGAGAAACTGGCTCTGTTGGGGGATGAGTACCAGTGAGAGGGAGTTGGACTAAGAGGGTGAGAGAGGATGAAATGGTCAAAATAGACTGCTGGCATGCGTGGAAATACAACTCCACAAAACCTATCACAAGTCTATATAAAAATATAGCAGTGAAAGCCCCTGCTTTTACTGTATTTGATGTTGGTATAATTTGTGGAGGGGAAGGGAAAAACAAATCGTTTAAATAGGAATACAGGTGGACCCATTGTAACAATGAGACGTACAAGTCGCTATGTCAAAAATGAACTTTACAACTTTGGTGGGGGGGAGGAGTGTTGGATGGGGGAGCAGGGGAAGGATGGGATGGGAAGGGGAAACAAAGGAGGAGGCTACAATGCTTGATAAAAAATGTACTCATTATCTTGCTCATGTAATTGTAACTCCTCTGCACAGTATTTTCACAATAAAAAACTATATAGCAGTTCTACATTTTGCTCAAATATGAAACCAGAGGTGTTTGCCCATAGGTGTCATCATTTCACGCATCAGAGTCTTTACACAGTTACAGTCTTTATATTTAGGATCTTTAATAACAACTCTTTAAAGCTCTGAAAGTGTCTCAAAAACATTTGTTTCTGGGGGTGGGAAGGTGGCTCAGTGGTAGAGTGCTTGCCTTGCATGCATGAGGCCTTGGGTTTGATTCCTCAGCACCACATAAACAGAAAAAGCTGGAAGTGGCGCTGTGGCTCAAGTGGTAGAGCGCTAGCCTTGAGCAGAAGAGCTGAGGGACAGCACCCAGTCCCACAGTTCAGGCCCACGACCCTCAAAAAAAAAAAAAGAAAGAAAGAAAAAAAAAGAAAACATTTGTTTCTAACTCCATAAACAAATATTCTTTTTTTTTTTTCCAGGGCTGAAGACCGAACCCAGGGCCTAGCACGCGCCAGGCGGGTGCCCTTCCGCTGGGCTAAACCACCATGCCCCCAAATATTCTTGTTTTAATTAACCTGGTACCATTCTGGAAAGAGTTCCTCAAATTGGAAAAAAAAAAAAAAAGATTACATTTCTTTGCAGTTAAATACTAGGCGCATACATACATTTCAATAGTATGATTGATTTTTCTCAATTTCTGCACAAACCAGCTCCTCTCCCTCATTATCACACTCACCTCAGAATTTCACAAAGTCCTGTAAAACCTGATATGCTTTCAAAGACTTTCTGGGAAACACTAGACTGAGATATAGAAAAAAAATTTCTTATGCATGAACAACAGAGAGAAACGGGTATCTCTTTAACATTGAGTATATTGGTTTTAATTTACTCATTTTCATGGTCCACTGAATTTAGAGCACGTAAAAATATACAATTAGCTTAGGAAATTTCTATTCAGTAAGGAATACATGAGGTTTATAATGACAATGCAATCTCTTCTTAAACTTTTACTTTTCAAAAGTAGCTTAAATACACAGTGCATTAGAATTTTATCATTGCAAACTAACATTACAAAAGACTTCCATTGACTTAAAAACAAAAAAGACATTCTTCTAAGTGGAAAATCAATCACCACAAGCACTAAATGCCACAGCTCAACATCAGCAAGAAGCACTGATAATTGTTAGTTATACACTGCAGAAATGATGTATGTCCTCAGCCAAGGAAGTAGGTGCCAGGATTTTAGAAAACTGTACATATATTGATTTTACATTTATTTAATGTGGCCATTGTAAGACACTTTATTCTTCTGATAAACTATGATTGCTTATCAAAAGATTCTATAATTCAAGAGTAACATTCATAACTTGTGTGTGAAAATGAAAACCACCAGCCCACAGAAATCATGCCCACAAAATCCAATTTTGTGGATTTATGGCAGAGAGGAATTAAACTACTGTCTTGCAGGAGCTGCAGGCCAGTCACTGAAGTCTAAGTGGCACCCAGTAATGATTAAGGTGACATGCCACCCTGCCACAGCTGTTAATCAGCTTAATACTAGTTAGATTATTGACATTCTTGTAATTACTTTTCCTAAGGCACATTTGTGCAAAATATATTTTACTTTAATTATGAGCAATCGGAAGCAAGTCCGATACTCAAAGAAAATAATCAAGGTTCTTTCGATGCAGAGGAATAGGAAGCTGAGTGCAGTTCTGATCACCTGGGGTCAGGCATGATCACAGGCGGCATTGCCAGAGAAGTGGGACCACCTCTCCCCATACCTTGCCATCCTCAGAACACACGCCCATGTGCTCTCCACTCTCATCCAGGCTAATCTGGTTTATCTTCACGGGGCTCTGAAAAACAAACCAAAACCAAAAGGATATGTAAAACCTCAGGAAAAACAGGTACAAACAATAAATGCTTTACTTTATTAACATTCACATGATACAATCAGTAGTTTATCTGTTTACATGCCAGAGTTTATGACATATTTTGTTTTGCAAATAAAAAAATAGTAACATGTTTAACATAACTATAAATGTAGCTTTAGGGTGTATAGTCTAGAATTCCTGTGCCTTTAATATAGTACTCTCCACGTATGGCTATGTAAATTTTAAAAGTACTTATTACAATTAAGTCATTTTCATAAGTCAGTTCTTCATTTGAAATACATGTGTCAGTAGTTCAACAACCACACGTGACTAGGGGCTGCTGAAAAGTCACAGAATTCCCATATTATCTTCTCGATGCAGGAAAATCTATTAGGACAGTGGTGCTATACACCTACAAAGCAGACCCAAAACAGAATGAAGCCAAGAAATCAAGTGCTCAGTGCAAGGTTCTTCATTTCAGCCTATATTTAGGGATGTGTTTCATTTTCCATACACATGTCAGAATGTAAGTACTTCATTCCTGGACTCTGACCAAAAGGTTCATGGTCTGTCCTAACCCTGTCTCAATCACACTGTATCATTTCCAAAGCCTGAATACACCTTCTGTTTCCAATCTTGGAAGACAGTAGACCTCTCAGGATGGTACCCCCACCTCCTAATAAGGAAAATAAATCTACATGAAACTACAGAATAGGTACGTAGAATTACAGAATACATCCTGACATTCTGTCCAAATCCATAGCAACATTTTGTGGCTATACCATACAATGGTCTTCCAAGGACAAACTTATTACACCACCATGCCATTGAACAGAAAGCCTGTGTTGTAGCATATATACACTAGTAACACTGAAACAAATCATGACTATGAGGCAGAACATGCTCTTTCCCTCATCTCTACTGGCAACAGACTTTTTAAAAACTTTTTTTCTGTTAGTGATCAGTATTCATTGATTCATTTCCCTGACGACTAATAAGGGTAAGCATTTTTTCTAAATCTATGGGCCAATTAATTTGATCTTGTATAAAATATGTATAAAATGCTCATTCACATCTTCGGCCCATTTTTCCTTACAAATATGTTTCTTTTTTATGTTCATCCATACATTGTATATCTAGTCTTCTATATTTTTGCAACATGGTATTATATTATTTATTATATTCAAGCCTTTAAATCCTCTCAGAAATCATTTTTTAGAAATAGATATGCATGTAGCCTACTCTTGAAATGTGATTATCATATAATAAATATTTACATACACACTGCCAGGTACAATGGCTCAATGCTATAATTCTAGCTACTTGGAAGGTAGAGGCCAGCTTAAGATCAGACTGGGCCTAAAAATTCATGAGACCTCATCTCAACCAATGACTGAGCATGGTGACATATGCCCATTATCCCAGATACAGAGATAGGTAGCAATGGCATATATATCATCCCTAGCAACACAGGAAAGTACAAGTAGGAAGATTGCAGCCCAGGTCCACCTGGGTACAATGCAAAACCTCCATCTCAAAAATAACCACTACAAAAAGGAGCTAGAGACATGACTCAAGAGGTAAAAGGCCTGCCTAGCAAGCATGGGTCCCCAAATTCAGTACCCAGTACTGCTAAACTTTATGAGTTTTCGTGTTCAATACTGATTTAAGTATAGAATATGTACATACACATTTTGGCATTTGGTAAGGTGTGGCCTGGCCTATTTTCATATTTTCCTTGGCTTTTCTCAAGATTTTAATCTTCTATGCAAATTTTAAAATAAGATGACCTTAGTGTTGCTCAAATTGATGGCTGTAGTTGAATTCTAACTTTGTTTATCCATCAGATCGTGTAACACTGCTGGGAATGCCTCTTTGCCTCTATGAAAAGATGTCACGAGGTCAGGTTTTCCTTTGAAATTTCTGGCCATTCCATTTCAGTCATTTTGCTGGATGGTCCTTATCTCTGATTCTACATCTCAATCAAGTCTTTATTTTTCTTACATTTTTATACTTATCTTAAATACCAGTAATCTTCTCCAGGGAAGAAATGACTTCTAAATCGGTAGCTCCAAACTGAACTCTCCATATTCCTGACCAACATGTAAGATTTACTTATTTATGTTCTAGCATGCATGCCTAACAGGCATTGTAATTAAAATGTATCCTAAAACTAAGATTCTCATCTTTCTTCCTAGAGAGGGTCTTCTTTGTTTTGAGTTCTTAATTGGTGGTGGTGTTTGACAGTACTGGGGTTTGAACTCAGAGCCTTGTGCTTGCTAGGCAGGCACTCTTCTCATTTAAGCCACAACCTCCAGGTCCCTGAGAGACTCTTCGAATGTGGTTTGCATCTCAGTTAATACCTTCTACCTTTCTGCTTGCTCCAGGAAAAAACCTTGGAGACATTTCTTACTCCTAATCTTGTTTCCTACTCTATATTGGATCTGTAGGCAATTCCTGTCATCTTTTCAGGCAAAATTTATCCAGAATGCTCTTTGGCTGATTTTTGAACTGCAGCCTTTCCCAGAAGTCAACCTTTACAAGAGTATAAGAGATTTCCAAGAGGTCAGCGTGTCCTGAATCTGATCACCAAAAGAAGACTCTCCAGCAGAACTCGTGATCTGAAGAACAGTGCTCTCAAATCATGAAGTTAGGATCACTGCAGGTTCAATGTGACCCAATGTTTACAAATATTACCTCGTTTAGACATACATCCTTTAGGACACTCTGAAATATTAGCACCAGTTCTAACTATAAAATATTATTATTAAGTTGCCCCTTTCGATGTTCTGCTAGCTTTCTACAAGTATTTATGGTATTTGTAATCAGAAGATAAATATTTCAAAAACCTGAATAAGCAGCAAACTCATTAATCCCAAAACAAAAAGAAATCAAAATCAAGAGTAACCGTTAAAGCCATCTTTCCAGGGAAATACAGCACATATTTTGATTCTGCATCATCGCTATGCATATTCCATTTACATAAAAATTCTCTAACATTTAATAAAAAATAAGATTTAATAAATAATAGGATTTCAAATTACAATTGTCAGTGGTGCTTGCAACCAGCCTGCATCCATAACCATTGCTCTCGTGCACAAGAACAACTGTCTGACATATCTGCTTCCTCTGTATCTGGAAACAAAGGTACACACACAAGAAAGGAAGCAGGATGCCCACAAGCTTGAAGGGAAACCTGGCAGAAACAGTCAGATCCTGGTTTTCTGTGCCTTTTACTGTAACAGCTGAAGAGCGGAGAGTCCCGCCTCACACACAATTTGAGATGCATATTTGCAAAGGTAGGACACTGCAGCAGACATGAAAAAGGGAAGGGGACCAAAGAAGACCAGAGAGAAATGGTCTCAGCTGTATTTTCCATTAGTTACAATTTTGTTCCTAATGGAGATATGTTTGGAATTCTGGACAATATAAGGGAGTCTGCTCAAAAATCAATAATGTCAAGCTGACAGTATAGAACACATGAAAGTGTTTCCTCAATAGAATAAAGAAAGCAGGAGGGGTGAGGACCAGAACATACCACTAAATCCAAGTCCACTACAGGTGGTCTCAAGTTCTTAAATTTAAAGAAACAGGTACACCTCATGTGATAATCAATTACCTAATAAAAATGCTTGAAATAAACACACTTAGTATGGATTATGCCAGCTCTTCAGTTAGGAATAAATTCATGGTCATTTGAAAAGCTGCTTTTAATGGTGTTCTTCGTGGCAACTTCTTTTCCCCTGACACTGCCCCTCATCCCACCTAAGCTATCGGCCCCCCAACTGTGAACCTAAGAAATCAATCTGCTAATGTATAATTTGTAAGGCTCCTCTGACTAACAAATGGATAATTGATTCCTTCACAAATGCTGCATCCCCATGGACATAGAGTGGAAAGAATAAGAAGCAGGAGACAGGATTTCATTTTCCTGCTCTCAGAGATCCACTGGTTAGCAACCTCACCGCCCAAGGCAGCTGCCTATGCAGCCTTATGCTGTTTAGTCACAGTTAGTGAGCAAGCCACACTTTCACTCCAAGTGTGAAAAGCAAAAGCCTGTCCCTTTGTCCTTGGGGAAGCTCATCTTTCCCTGTACTTTACTCTCTACTGAGGAGACACCCTGGAGGGCTAGCAAGTATCCACAGGGACTGAGAAGCCAATCATAGGTATTTTACAAATCAGCAAAACAAAAACAAAAATGTTCATTTTCTCACTCACTTACTTTAAAACCATCAGGGCCCCATCTTTAACTAAAAACTCTCAACCTTTAGTGTCTGTAAGAGTTAATCTCTACTTTAAAATCCTTCTTTGATTCAAGGCGGGGAATAAACTAAACCACCAAGCAATCTGGAAACCAGGAAACTTTTGTGAAGCTTTCCTGAAAGTCTCAAATTACTACTGGCTTAGTAAGACTAAGAGAAGATCTGTAAGGCTCCAGGTATGTCCTCAGCAGAACTGACCACACTGTTCGTAGCCTTGTGCCCCTGGGTTGCTCCCTTGCACTAGGACAACTGGCTGATGTTCCCATCTCTCAAGTGTCAATTGCTCCAGCCAAAGTCACCAGGACCTTCCTGAGGCTGAAGCAACAGGAGTTCATTCAGCCTTTCTGGGCTTGACTGTTTTGACATTGCCTCCAGCAACCCAGAGAAGCCTGAGTCGGAAGATCACAGCCCAGCATAAAGCAAGACCATACTTTGAAAATAAGTCACCAAGACCTATCATTCGGCCCTGTCAATGTCTCTCTAATCTCTCTCTCCATATAGCTGAAGCAGATGGTCTCCGAATGGGTGTTACTTTCCCAAACAAGCCAACCACACCTGGATTTCCCAAACGTGCCAACCTTTACCTCCAACACCCCATTCACTACACGGCTAACACTGAAGTCGTCCTTCTAAAAGTTAGGAATGCTGTGTCCTGTGTGAAGCACAAACTCCTGAACAAAGTGGCCATACACCTTACTGTTCCTCAGCAGTGTCTGTAGG